TGTTGGGGTTTCAGCTACAGAAGATAGTTTAGGATCAATTAACATATTTTGCCCTTTCGTCTTGTGAGAAGTGAATCTGATTGTTTGTTGTGCTTTCATGTCCACAAACTCACTCTATTATTCGGTCATCTCACATCTCCTGGCTTCACCAACTAGATGACGCAGGCTGTCACGGGATCAGAGAAATAATTTCTCTTTTTCCAGGGTATAACTCTGGTAATATAGCAACGATGGTTACAGTGGTAATGCTACTTTATTACAAGTAAACAAATTTAATGCGTTTATTTTCTTTAAAAAATGAATAGCCTTTTTATATGTCACCCTCAAGAAATGTGTACTTTCCTATGCTCTCGAATTAGATATCGCGCGGTGAGTTTTGGCCCAGAAATGAACGCAGCACGCAAATTAAGTTGGCTCCGAATTTCCAGGATGTGCTTGGTGGTGTTATCTGTGGCGGATGTTTTTCAGAGGGTGGGGTGTGGTATATAAAACAAAAGGACACGATTTATCCAACATTCGCCACAGACACCAAATAGCGCTTAGTGACATGCAAGAGACGCAGGTTTAGCAACTTTTGACTTCTGGGATTTGCAAAATTTTTAAAGTAACATGCTTCTAACCAAGCAATACATAGTTGTAAGTAAACAATATGTTGCTTTTCGCGTTAATGTACCTTAGGAGTCAGTAAGATAAGGCAAAACAGTGATAGCGAGTATTAACAAAGCTTTTTAGACAGCAGCTCTCAGGCGCCCGTTTCCCGCTTAAGCGGCGTCGCCGGCGCCGTCGACGTCGGCGTAACCGCGCGTTGCATTATGGGACGTTCCCCATAATGACATTACACGTGACGTCACGGGTGACGTCACGAGAGACACGAGTGACGTCCTCTGTGACGTCACCGTCGTGACATCACACACCACCTATATTTAGCGGGAATATCTCCCCGCTAGATTTGGGAGGGAAGTTTTCCCCGCTAAATTTAGCGCGGAAACTTCCCCACCGAATTGAGCGGAAAAAATTACCCGCTTAAATAAGCGGGAAAGTTTTCCCACTAAATCTGCCAAAAAAAATTTCCCCGCTGAATTTAGTGGAAAAATTCCCCGCTAAATTTAGCTGACATAACTCCCCGACTAAATTTAGCAAAAACAATTCCCGGTAAATTCAGCGGAAATATTTCTCCGCTAGATTTAGCGGAAACATTCTTCGCGAAATTTACTGGAAACTTTCCTCGCTAAATTTATTAGAAAAATGATCACGCTAAACTCACTGGAAAAATTTCCCCGCTAAATCTAGCAAAAAAATTTCTCCGCTAAGTTTATTAAAACAACTTCCTGCTCACTTTAACGGAAAATATTCCCGCTAAATTTAGCGGCAAAAATTCCCCCAAAAACTAGCAGAAAGGATTCCTGCTAAATTTACATAAAGAATTTCCCCTCTAAATTTAGCGAAAAAATGTCCCCGTTCAATTCAGCGGAAAATCTTCCCCGCTAAATTTACCTCTATAATGCCCCGCCAAAGCTAGCGGAACAATTTCCTCGGCAAATTTTGCAGAAAAAATTTCAACTGGAAATTTTTTTCGCTAAATTTATTGGAACAAATTTATCTAAAAAAATTCCCCACTAAATTTATCGAAAAAATTTCCCCACTAAAATTAGCAGGAAATTTAGCGAGAATTTCCCGCTAAACAGGAGGGGAGCAGAAGAGGAGGAGGGGAGGGGGACGAGGGGCATACCCTCCACCCACTCCGTACCCTCCCCTCCTCCTCAAGAGCTGTGCTCTAATTCGGCATTACAGAAAATTGCAAACATCTTTAATTTTTTTTTTGTTTTTTTGTATAGACCATTCCATTTAGCGCTCTCTGGGCGGCACCATTTTGTTCGGCAGCAGCACCCTCTCCATACATCCGGGAAATTCAGCGTGTTCGGCGGGGTATAACGAGAGAGAGGGCACGCGCCCGACTCCGCTAGCAGACGACAAAACGGGAGGTTGCCATTCTCCATCTTTGGGCTGTATCGGCGGGCTATACGGAAAATGGAACTCTCGCTCGTGGCTGCTGTTGTGAAGTGGTTCGCGTTTTTAGAATAGTTATGGCTACTCCAAAATCAGCCTAGAGCTCTCTGTTGTTCTACTTCGGTAAATGATCAACTGACATATCTTTTTTTCCGTTACTTAAATAGCAGTTGAGCCAGCCGGCAGTACTACCCTCAACTACTGCGTATATTGCGGCAGGAGAGCACGTTTTTATTTATTATTTTAGGCATCCACTCATGGTCGCTAAAGGCCTACACCAGTACGAACTTTGTATAGTAAGAAAGGTACAGCCACCGGATTAACTTTTCGCCGGAGAGACCGGCCAGTCTGACACAGTTTTCCCTATATTTTTGTATTTGCACGCAGATAACAGCGCAATTGGACTCTGTATGTCTTTTTTATCTCGCATAGTAAGACACGATAACAGGCATACCAAAATCTGCGCATCTACGCTTGAAATTCCCAAAATGACGCGATTTCAAACAGAGTTTGTACGCCAGCCGGACGCTAGGTACTGCCCACCCGGCGGAGCAGACGACATCCGGGCGAGAGGGGGACGCATTTTTGTCTCTTTTCACCCTCATTGCTATGACCCTAGGGGAACGATCTATGTCTGCAGCACACAACTTTATATATGACTGAGAAAAATAGTTATCATGATATTTTCGATCTTAAGTTCACATAGAAAGTGGTGACTAAAGAAGTTTTTGTTATGCTACAACTTGTGTTCTTTTTTTTATTTGTGTCGTACTACGAAACGCTACATTTTAGAGTTTTGTATCACGGAGACTATTAAAAAGCGCAATCCTATTATTTTTGTTTTGTTAATATATACGTTGAAACCTTTGGTCTTCACCATATTCACTGAAACGCGTGGGATGATTGATAGGACTTTGCCGTGACACTGACTAGAAAATGGATTACCAGACAAGATATCACGGCCGTTCTCGTATATTGGACGGTATGTAGTCCGCTCACCGAGATTGCCCCGGATTGTTTTCAGATATCATACCCTTCTCAGCGGAATGAAAAAAAAAACTGTTCCTCACAAATTAGAAACCAGCGTGATGGATGGAGAATTTACCGCCCTTTTGCAATCAGCTAGTCCTGAAGGTCTTGGCACGCACGCCGGGTTCCTGACACGCAAGGCGCAGGTTCGTCTCTTTAACGTGTGCATAGGTCACGCATCAGCAGCCACCAAAATAAAAGCTTTTTTTGTTATGCTGCACACTTAGCCTTCTACGCATTCAGCCTCTTCCACAAAAAACGGCTCTTCCTCATTCCAGGTGCTATTTTTGAGCAATATATACGGACAATGGCTATTTGGTGTAGGCATATTCATTCTCTTCCCCTCTACATAATTTTAGTTCGTACACAGGGTATGTTTTATACCTTAAACATAACTGTGGAAGTCATTACTCTTGAAAACACAATTTCTTCTTTTACGGTCAATGGTGCGCCGACACCTTATTCTAAAGCGTAAATTATGCTTTGAACAGTTCCCCACATCAATTTTTTTATGAACACCTCTGTAAGAAGACAAAGTTGACCTTTTTGCTTTTATTTGTAATGATACTGATAAGTGAAGCAAAAACCATATTGAAAAAAGGATTTGTTATGCTTTTTAGAGCGCAGCTCTTAGGGGCCCGTTTCCGGCTTGAGCGGCGTCGGCGTCACCGTCGGCGTCGCCGTCGGCGTCGGCGTCGGCGTAACCGCGCGGTGCATCATGGGAAATGTCCCATAATGCACCGCGCGAGCCCCCCACCGGGGTCACGTGACCTCGTGGGGGGCACGTGACCCGCCCCCCCCCCCGAGGTCACGTGACCCCGGTGCATCATGGGAAATGTCCCATAATGCACCGCGCGAGCCCCCCACCGGGGTCACGTGACCTCGTGGGGGGCACGTGACCCCCCCGAGGTCACGTGACCCCCCGAAGTCACGTGACCCCCGCCGATGTTGCGTGACCCCCCAATGACGTCATCGTCACTGATGACGTCACCGGCATCCACATCGTCATCGTCATCATCACTGATGACGTCACCGGCATCCACATCGTCATCGTCATCATCACTGATGACGTCACCCGCATCCGCATCGTCATCGTCATCATCACTGATGACGTTACCGACATCCGCATCGTCATCGTTATCATCACTGATGACGTCATCAGTGACGTCACTGATGTCGTCACCGGCATCCACATCGTCATCGTCATCGTCACTGATGACGTCACCGGCATCCGCATCGTCATCGTCATCATCACTGATGACGTCACCGGCATCCGCATCGTCATCATCACTGATGACGTTACCGACATCCGCATCGTCATCGTCATCATCACTGATGACGTCATCAGTGACGTCACTGATGACGTCCCCGACATTCGCATCGTCATCGTCATCATCACTGGTGAAGTCATCAGTGACGTCACTAATGACGTCATCGGTACCCGCATCGTCATCGTCACTGATGACGTCATCAGTGACGTCAGTGATGACATCATCGGCATTGGGGGTCACGTGACCCCCAAGGTCACGTGACCCCCCTGGTTAGTTTAACCCCCCCCACCCCAGTGCCCTTCCCTCCTCCTCCTCAAGAGCTGCACTCTAATTCGGCGTTACAGGGAGTTGTAAGCAGCTTTCATTTTTTTTATAAACACAAAGTAACTTGTAAAAATATATCTAAGAAATAAACTCTTTTAAGATTCTATGCTACCTTATATATTTAATGTACACTCTCCTTAAATATTTTGTTTTACCAGGGGAACATACCTTGTTATGAAAGCCCGCATGAACCTTAGAATCGTTGCTATTAGCGAGAAGGCAAATTACATTATCTTTTCGAAAGAGCTGAATATAGGTCTAAGCTATTTGCATATAGCTCGCCATATAAATGGCCGAACAAAGCAGGATGTGTTTTCATGAAGCTTCGACTTTAATGTGTCGTTCAACGGTCTGGGCGGTAACTTGCAGGGCCTCCGGATCCTGTAGAAAATTGCACCCAAGTAAACGGCACCGAAGACTCCGTGTCCTTCGAGTGCTCCGAGGGTGCTTGGAACGGCGGCATCTCTCCGGTTTCGTTCCTGGCTGAACTGCGTGAGATCGACTCGGGGCATCGGCTGTTGGCAAACGGCTCTTCGCTCGGTTCTCCTTCATTCACCTTCCTTGGACTTCCTGGTGGAAGTAGCTTCCGTGTCCAGCTCTACTCAATCAATGCGAAGGGCCACAAAGCGCCCACACGCTTTATCGTGACCACACTGAGGCCAGCTGAAAAGCTTACTGGTAAGTGAAGGAATAAATCACCGGGTTTACATCACGATATCTGAAAACAGAGCCTACCTACCGAACCCCCAAATGTCGTTGAGGTTTCTGTAAAAAGAAAACAACGAGTAGATGAACTTAAGACGTAAATATGCCTCTCAACTGCAGGAACTGTTATGAGAGGAATTGAATACACAAGAACTTTTTATCCACATACGTGAGCAGTGTTATTCTACATCATCAAATTTCCATTCCTCAGTGAATCATAATTCCAGATTTAGGCACATTGGAGAGCTCATCAATTGGTGGTATAAAGCGTAATTTTCTCATGATTGGCTCAGAGATGTGGTTGGTCGAATAGAGATATTCTTCCTATCGTCAGCCCAATTATCCACTCTTGTTGATGTTTCTTGAGATATACATTCCAGATGATATCAGTCTTCAGAGAATTTAAAGCGAACATCCACAGTCTAAATTTTATGTCTTAAAATGCGTTATATTAGTAAAAAGTAGATACCCCGGGAATACAAATCTGCATGCCTTACGTACAACTGGTAATTTAAAGCCTCAGAAACTTTAAAACCGTATCGTTGCGCGACACAAACCTGCATAAAGGTCTCGTTGACGAAAGGCTTCCTTCTTTAAGAAATTTCGCTTTTGGGTTGACAAGGATAAGAAAGAAAAACAGAAAATGGGTCACCCAAGCAAACACAAAGGACTCCTAGAATTTGTCTCTGGGAAAACATTTCAGAGCTCACTGGCCTGAGAGTTATGGGCCCAATATACGAAGAAAGCGGGCACGCACCAATATAAACATGATCCAAACAAAGCACAGAGGTTGTCAGGAATTATAGGAGCAACTTCAGAAACAGTCTCCGCGAAATTTTATGGTGATGGCCAGCGTTCCATTATAACAATTAACTGCGTCCAGGAAATAAATAATCTCTTACCACTTCTGACTGGTTAAGTTTTCTTTAACTTTTCCTTTAAAAAATATAAAAAATCAAAGAAAATCTGCACAAAATGAAGGGGTGTGCGAGAGTATTAGATACACAGTGTTAAATCAATAATATCGTGTTTACTCACCTGAGCTGGAGCTAGGACTATAAAATCGTCGTGTCCAACTAGCCATTTATTAAATCTCGTGTTATTTAGAAATGCAACTGGTCTGCTTTTATTTTCATGCAATCAACATTTCTGAACCAATGTTGACGGGCTATTTTTAAGAGCATCGTCATTGACTGGACTGCTTGGAAGGATTAGGAGCAGTGATCTAAACACCCCCCCCCCCCCCCCCCTTGCCCAATTTCTATAACACATCTTCAACCCGAGATCAATATCTGTCTTGAATTTCTTGAATAATGTACACAAACCTAAGTTAACCCCCCCCCCCCTCTTTTTTCATTTTGGCAATCCTGAATGAGTCCTGTATACTAAATTTGGTACGCGGTTGGGTATCCGGAGAAGTAGAATGTGTATAATATGCAAACTGATTTAAAGGAGGGGACTTAGAAAGGGCTGCTAAAGCATTGTTTGCCAGCCAATGAAATGCTCGGGGATGCCGAAATTGTGATATAGAAATTAATTAAAGGGACGCTGACATCCTCTAGATTAATATTTTTTGCTAGGCGATTTAATATGGTGTCAGAGGAATACGCAATCAGTATTTTGCTACAGAGTCACGTATATTTTTAATATCGGCAAAAACGCAACTGCTGTAGAGGAGTAGATAGTTGTCGCAGGTCACGTGGGTATACCCGATAGCGTTTTCTTTTTTTTTTTCCTTAATTTTTCTGGCCGTGCCAGGCAGATAAAACATTCGCGCGTCGCACGTCGCACAAAAAACTCTAAAGTCAGCACTAAGTCGCGACGTTTGCGCGTTTTTCAAGCTCCTTCAAATTCGTGTTCTTAAGACGAGCAATGTCAGTAGAAGAGACGACGACTCGACGACTCCTTCGTGCGCATCAGCTTGGTGGTCAGGCGTTTCGTACAGAAGAAATCCCAATTGTTTTGATAGGTAAATGATTTCTACGGTGTTCGTGGAGAATAACATAGAGGACGAAAACAGGACGACACGTTTCTCGTGTCGTCCTGTTTTCGTCCTCTATGTTATTCTCCACAAACACCGTAACTTAACCAGCACGCTCCATTTCCACAAATGATTTCTGTTTCGAAGCTAGATAGATTAACCGGTACCGCGAAAAAACGGTTCTGAAGTAGGGCTTCCACGCCCGTCGTCCGCCGCCCTCGACTAGTCTGCGTCGTTCAGCCGTCCGCCCGCAACTCTCGCAGTACGATACCGTGTTAGGAGTTACGCACAAAATGCGCGGAGTGTTTCCGGTTCTCAGCGCAACTTTTTTTTTCTTTACAATCATTGTATTTGAAGTTTTTTTTAGAAGTCACAAAGAAAGCGTATGATATTATATTCTGCAATTTTTAGTATTGAGTTTGTGTTTTCAATGACCCACGACTTTGATTATCTTTTGGTGTTTGTATGTCTGAACCATAGAGAACTGCGAGTGACAACGGAGAGGAGAGAGCGCGACTAAAGCCAGCCAGTTCTCAATCGACGGTTTTCGGGTGGAAAGAAAATGCATTTCAAGCAGCAGATTCTGCTCTGGATAGTTGGGCTCTAATATGCCATGTACAAATAAAAACGCTGGAGAGCATAAACACCCAGTCAGTGTCCCCTTATTATGCAAAGACGCATTGGGCTTACTGAGAATATGACTTTGGAAGTAGCTTTAACAATACCTTGACTTTCGAGATATCATCCATATAAAAGCGACCTTCCGCCGCACCAGTATATTTATGATGCATTTCTGTGTTCTTTTAGCAGGCAGCCAAGGCATCATAACTATCAGACCCATCCTCGGCGTCCTTGTTGGAACGGTAGTAACATTAGTGATAGCAGCAATAGCTATCATACTCTTCGTGAGATACAAGAATCCCAAGAAGGAAAAAGGTACGTAAGAATTGCACCTATCATTTGGATTCTGAAATGCACCGAGCATGTGGGCTCACACACCTTTCATTTTATTTGCGTGGAAAAAATGGACACGTAATTATTACATTCGATATTTTTATGCAAGCATAGAAAGATTTTTCAAGATTAAAACATATTTGTGAAAACTTGCAGTACATGTTTTCACAAATACGTTTTAATATTGAATCCACAGGAGAAAAATAATTTAACATATTACTCAAATTCTTTAAAAAAGAAAGATTCCCAACTGTAAATCTCAAAATGCGACATACAAACAGCCAGACTAACTAAACAAACGTGTGCATCATAAATATCGAAAAAAATACCGAGGGAAGAAAATTTCAGTTGTTCACGAGTAAGATTTATTGACAGTTTCAATTGTTGGCAACAGCAAAGCAACAACTAAAACATATTGCCAAAATAAAAGTTCAAGTTCATTCTAGCTATAAACAGCTGTACAACGCATTTCTACGAACAAGACAATCTTTTTTGTCAATCTTCAATAAAACACGCGAAGTCAAGAATGTATATAAGAGTAAAAATAATGGACGGCAATGGTTGTATATTCTTGGGGTCCTTGCAATAAAAGAATCGATACGCGAACTAAGTTTAAAATTTAGATTAATAGCCAGAGTTACAGCATATCAAAAAAAGAGTGGGCCTTTGCTTATTGTTATGCACACGTTCCTGAATTCAGGAATATTTTTTTCGGCATTCTTGAAAGTTGACATCGAACCTTATTGGCCGCTGAGCGGTTTATTACGATGCTCGCTACAGGCCACTTTCTGCTTTAAATCAATCTGTTAGCATATTTAATAATATGTGTTGTTCACCTTTTTCCACTCTGAAGAAAAGGTTAGAAAGATTCTGTTTCACTTTCACCGGTTTGAAAAAAAGAAAACGATTGCTGTGTTTACGACTCCCGTTAAGACTACGGCCACCAGCGTGTTTCCTTGGAAGTATATATATTCTACACATCTGAGCTCCGTGTGCAAATAACACCTACTGTATTCTCGGTTCTTAAAATTTACTTTGCTCGAAATAAAAATTAAATCTTCGGTTCGAGGTAATCGAGGACACATATCTTATCAAATCGCAATACTGAGGTAAATAAGATGTAGAAGTGCAACTTAATATTTGTAAATGTCGAAAGTGCAAGGAAGGTGCCCTTATATTAAGCGTTAAACAACGGAGGGAGCACGCTGAATTGCCTTACTTCTTACATTCAAAAATTTCTCAATAGCCTTGTAGTTCTAGGTTAAGGAACAAAATAAATCTCTCCCATATAATGCCGTCCGGTGAAATAAAGCCTTTACTTGTGACGAATAAAATAGAAGAACAAACAAAGACTGGGTAATAATTTTTTGAATATTTCTTAAAACCCTGAAACCAACTGTTTAAATTAGACACTTCTTATTGCGATATAAGACTCACGAAAGGGTTCACTGTCTCTTAAGTAACAGTAGTTTCTTGATTAAAAAAAATGTGTACCTGTTCACAGTTCTGTCATTTATCTTCGTGTGCTGTGTGTTTCTCTCTTGTGCTTGCGGAAAAAGAACACTGCGGACGTAGGAATGACGAGAAGTAAGTTAACCTCATAAATTGTTATAAATCGCGGTACATTAATAAAATGTTTTCAAACAACATAATACCATATAACATGGGCCTACTCATAAACTATAGTTAACTGTAGCTCGGGACGCCGATTTGTCTCATAAAAAAATATATATCTTCATACCTAATAGCAAAATTAACAGCAAACAACTGTTTAAAAAAGTCACCCTTATTAATTGTCAGGCTTATGCCGCGCCGTTTTCGCAGAAATATGAAGTAGCAGAAATGTCTCAGGTTTTGCATAAATACACATAAAATTATTTCAGCTTCATGTCTATAAAAAAGGTTTTAACGTACATATACAAAACTTTGCCGAGCTAGTTGATGATATTATTTATTAACCTCCCGATTATATGGTTGCATTGTATTATTACTATAATATAGATTGTTGTTGTACAAAACATAAGGGTTTATATTCAAAAATGTATATGGAAAGTTGGTTTAGGCGGATCGTCGTAGCTAACAAACTTTAAAATGTTTCACTTGTTTCCAGCTTCAAAGGAGCTCAATAAACAAACTAAGAAGTGAATATAAAGTAAATTTTCTAATAACCTCAGTAATAACGACTATAGCATGCCTCTAGAGTCAGTAATAACCTCATTTCCTAATTAAATGGTGCTTTCCCATGAGGTTTCTCGCTTTTTTTTCTTCCTCTTATAAAGCTTGCCTAACAAAAGAGCGATGACAAATAGCCCTCCAAAGTAAACTTGTGCGGTTTTCATAGTACGATTAATTTTGTTTTGCATAAGAACGATTATTGCTCTTAATACATAACAGACTATCATTTTGGCTCAGCAAAAATTTGTGTCGGAATATGTTGTATTTTAAGGCTTAGTTGCAGGTTTAATGTAAATCACTATCAGTGGCGTAGCCAGGAGTTCTTTTAAGGGTGTGTGTGTGTGGGGCGGGGGGGGGGGGAGTTGATTAGGATATTTATGACTTGGGGTGCAAGGGGGCGGGGGGGGGGGGGGTCAAAGTGCACGTTTATATCATTAGGGAGCATGATGTAAGGCGAGAAAATGAACGCACACAAGGAAGACACTCACACTGGCCCTTACCCCAACCACTTTTTATTCTACCAAGTAGCCCAACTACAAGTACTTCTACAGTATGTTTTTGGTTCAGGCTAGATTTTGGGGGAGGGGGTGCAGCCACATATGTCATTTCCCGGGTTACGCCGCTGATCGTGATGTTCAACCCTGGTTTACTCACGTTCTTTTTTATAATAAAGCAAATTCAGAGCCCCACTTAAAAAAATATTGCGAAAAAATCATGAGGCATCAAAATGTATCCTAATATCTATAAATTCCGTGGTGCCGAGGTTATCGTGGCCACTTCAAATAAATGCTATATAATATGCTTTTAAAATTGACGGTCCTATCATTCGTACACGGGAGTTGAGTTATGGGCATGATTTATTCCTTATCTTCTAGACACAAATTTGAGGAAGATCCTTGCGGCCTGAATTAAGAAACGAACGACGCCACTTGATAGACCTGTTCGGGTGGCGGAATATTTTCGCCGTCTTCCAGATTACCCGCTGCTTCAAAGTTTATATTTTCTCATAATTGGTGTTTTGTTTCAAGAACGCAGACGCTGCTGAAAAAGGATGAAGATGAATTTGGTGACATAGAAGAAAGAGGGCCGGATATCATTCCATCGACACCTCTTAGTAAAACAAATTTCACAGGTAAACCCGCCATATGATTTTTTTTCGCTCCTATAATTTTGACGGCCCAAATGTACAAGAGCTTTTGGACTGACCGCCTGAAATCGTCGAACAAAACGCGCCGCTGTTTTTCCTATTTATAAATCAGGCGATCCTACAATTGTAAAAAAATCTGCTGTCCCATTTCATTACTGTTCAGTACTTTTCAAGGTTTTTGAGATGGTAATGCAGAAACGTCTGTACAGTTACTTTAGACTAAAAATGAACCCCGTGCAACACATATTTTAATGAAAAAATTGTAAGGGTGCAGGCGAGCTGGTGGAAGTTAACCATAGTTTTGTTTAACCCGAGACTGGGGTATTTCGGAAAAGGGACGAGAAGAAAAGAGGCCACAAGGAGGCGACGTCTCAAACACAGCTAAGGATTTTATTCCATCGTATGCACTTTTATACACACCACGTCCACACACCACCAACCAAGTCGACCACTGACAACATAACACCCGGAATACACTAAGCCAAACATAGGCCCAAAACATTACAAAAGAAAAATCTTTCAGCCAGACAAAAGGACAAGATACGCCTCCGACTACACAAAGTCAACAAAGAACCGTTAAAATGTTTTTTCAAACCCGCAAACACACGGAACCAAAGGGAAAGAGGGCATACAAGACCTAATTACACAAAGCCAAGCAACAAACCATTAAACTAGCCGGTACTTAGTCACCGTAAAAAAACAAAAAAAACAAAAAACGGCAGCCGGTCATTTTAATTCGCACTACACATTGAAGGAAAGCGGAAGAGGGTAACCATGAACCAAAATACACAAAGGGGAGAATGCAAAAGTTCCAGCCTCAACCTCAACAATCGATTGAATCTACTATTTACCTTTTTTTAGATTATACTGTTCCCTTTGTTTGTGACCATGCACAAGTCGATGCTACATATTTTGATATGACGAAGGCATTTGGTAAGGTTTATCACAATACTCTTCTGGCCAAACTTCTGTCTGGCGTACATCCATTGGTTTAAAATTTATATCTAATGTCGTAAAAATTATGCTTGTGTGATCACGGCTTATATCTGATAATTTTTTTTTCGTTTTCCCGTCTGCCCCAAGGAAGCAACCTTGGTCCACTTTTATTCATGGTGTTTGTGAGCGACATTTCTCATTGCGTGAAAAACTCGGAAGTATTATTATTTGCCAACAACATCAAACTGTTTCGTTGTGTTGGTTCGTACTCGGAACGCAAACTTCTTCAGGATGACGGGATGGAAATTTCAAGGTGGTGTTCGATGAACTTTTATATGCTCAATAAGGAATGACAAAAAAATAATCTCTCTGACTGGAAAGCGTGATTTACTTGTGTTCCTTTACACAGTAGACAGCAGTGTCGTCGCCCGAGTGTCCCTCCTTCGTGATCTAGGAATTTTTGTTGATTCATCGTTAAAGTTTAATACTCGTATTTCGATTAAATGTAATGCATCCCTTATAAACCTTAAGTCAACGTCTCGTTTAAAGAGGCAATTTTCTTCGCCTGTTTGTCTTGTGAGTTTATTTTGCTGTTTAGTGCGCACAAAGCTGGAGTTTGCATCTATTGCTTGAAATTATATTAGCGACACTGCGTCATGCACTATTGAGCGTGTTCAAAGACACGTCATAGGCATAATCTATGACAGGCATTTCGGCAGCAAGAGCTACAACAACTATAATATACTCCTTCAAAAACTAGGATTGCGTATTTTGATTAACTGAAGGCATCTAAATGACTATATGCGTTTTAATAATGTACTGAACAGAATAACGGATCCATCAATTTTGTTATGTACTGTTTGTTTCTATGTTCCCTTGCAGTCTAGTCGGTTTCAGAGCCCGTTTTACCACCTGACTTTATACAATGCATCAACCTTAACTAGAATTCAACTAGAATTCAACGAGCCTGTTTAATCTGCTATAGACACTTTTAGTGACATGACTACTTTTCGACATAGACTCGAGTCAGCATTTTTGTGTATAACTTTGGAAACTAAACTAAATATAACTTTTGAAAAAAGAAAAGTTAGGACTGAACATACGCTGCTAAAACTCTTAAAACCTGTCTTAACACTTCATCGCTGATCATTAGTTAAGTACAGTCAATAAATAGCTTGAGTGTCTTTCGATTGTTCAATTGAGACTATTTGTTGTCGAAGATAAATTACGCGGTTACGTATTTTCATTATTTTATATTCTTAATGGGAAAGCACTAAAATGAGGGGGAAATCAATTTGACGCAATAGAGAGTCTTCAGAAGTCATACAAATTGCACATCCTCTGTTTTAAAATAGTTTTATTGAATACGTGAGACTACAAATCGTTTGTGAAACTTTTTTTGTATGTATTGCTCAAAATAAAGTACTCACGATGCGCCGCTTTGGTTTTTCGTTTAGTTAGAGGAACGCGTGCTGTGAATACATTCATGTTCTTATTTTGTCGCGGTCACTTTTTTAATGAAACTTGCAGCAATAAAATTACCAAACAAATTATCAGTAGTTTAATGTAGGCATCAATCTTAATATCGGTCTGTATAAAATTGTTTGTGTCGGTGAATTAAAATAACATAATCCAGGCAACTCACCTCTTATCAGTGCAAGGGCCACTTGCTTGATTTGAGGCGTCATAATGTTTAGTGTTCTCAAAGTGGCATGCTCACATTGAAATACTTCCATTACTTTAGCTTTATAGTCGTTCAAATTTCTTCAAATACTATCTTGTTTGTCCCGTTCAGTAGAGCCAAGGATGTAAATCAGAGCTGAGGAGCATATTAATAGCATCCATGCATTATATACTTGGATAAACCATGTGCGCATAGAGGAGGTGTTTAGTTTACAAATGTTACATTCATTGTTTATCTCTTCGTATGAACGCGTTCTTTAGAAGTTACTTAATTCGGTCTTCTGATAGTGTTTCTTTGGTTTACAGCATACACGGGAGAGCTTCATGAAAACAGCGAGTTTTCAAAGGAAGACTTACCGAACTTTTATAGCCTTCCATCTTCAACTAATGAACTCGAGCTGGAGTGTGCTCAATCCTCGACAAGATACGTTGGTAGCAAGGTAAGAATATATTTTATTCATAAACCAAGCTTGCTATCGCTTGGCCCATTTTAACCTCGTGTGTTCAAATGACCAACGGATTAGTTCTCCAAAGAATGTTTATTCTGAACACAGGACATTCTACTGTATGGTGTAGTCTCTTATCCCATCGTAGATTACCACCAAAAAGTATTTGATTCATCCAAGCAAAAAAAGAAGTTCAGGATGGTCACTCAGAAGTAAATTCTTTTAAAATATCTATTTGGTAATACACTCATGATAATACACTGATTGATAAAACATTGACAATAAAACACTGATTGATAACTCTTACAGTACACAGAAAGAATTGAGATTGTATTGACAAAGATATCAAGGTAGATTCATTATTTTTGTTTTAAATTTTAACTGAGCACCCCAAAGTTTAACAAAATTATTATTTCGACACACCATCGTCATCTGATTCTAATCTTAATCACGCTCGCTTTTACGGAAAATTAACTGTAGGAACCAGTTGCTCAACTACTCGTATTGAAAAGTGATCTTGTGAAACGTATAACGCAAAGAATTGAAGGACTTGTTCCTTTAATTGATAGAAAATTATACCAGGATCACTGTCTATTTATCCCACATGCATAGGTAACTTTATAACTTAATATATTTATTACTCTATATTAATAAAGTCGCATGAAGTCACGTTAATTTATTTCATAACCAATAAATGTTACCGTGACAAGTGGTTGAAAACAAAATTCAAAGTTCGCAGTCTGACGGGTTCCAACTCCCCTGAACTAATTTTACTGCCACACAAACACATTAATATAAACACGCATGAAATGGTTAATAGCTACACTCTTCTGGATTCAGCGACCCTACCTCAACTCAGGAAAGTCGCAGATCCTTAGGACAGTCTTGTAGGGGATGTATATGAATGAGACATTGAATAGAGTCGGTACATGACAGCCTGTCGTCAGCGTAGCTTAGAAAATGAATCGAGATTTTGTACAACAGAATATACTTCAGGGAGGGTGCGAAAACCTCTATATGCGACCGTACATACACATTAATTCTAACTATACTCAAGTATTACAACTTAAAATGTAGCATCTGGCTGATAAAAATGCATCAAAATCATAGAAAATCGTGTAATAATTACCGAATGTACATAATCATGTTTATATGTAAACTCATAAATTATTGCATTTTGACCATGTATGATTCCTGGGTAGCTAACAATATTTTTCTGCGGTAGGGCACAGGAACAGTGGTATGGTTTCATAACACCGGCCGCCAATCAGGAGTTACAAAAGTCAATGTCCGATTATAAGCTCACGAAAAATTATTTACACAAAAATTGGATTCAGCATAGGTCTTCGTAAAATTTAACGATAATAATCAGAATAATATTAGTATTAAATCAACCAGTGTTTATTATAGTGTCCAGGAAGAACCAGTCGGTCTTAATGCCAACACCCTTTAAGATACAAGCAAAAACACACACAAGGAAATTTACACACTAGTGCAAAAGGGGAACGCGTAGTCCACCAGTCTAAGACAAAAATATTAACAAGTAAGAGAAACACTCGAATCAACAAGGGGAATCAAGAGCAGGGACATCACCAGGTGTGAGAGAAAAAAGCAAATACTTGTGTATCGCACTGAAAAACACCAACCCTTCAACTGATCAGCCCTTATCTTGTAAATTAGAGCTTTAAACAGCATTTCCGATCTTGCTCCTGCTTGAGTTCAAAATGTCAACTGTATCAGAGTAGTGGTTATAACATTCAGCCGATTTTAGGATCGTGTTTAAGTGGCTAACGTGTCGTGCTATATAAAAAGATGATTGAAACCGTGGAGGCAACCGTGGAACCCTAAGGCTCCCTTCAGACAGCAAGCTAGGAGAGTTAACCAGGCCGTGCAGCGTCTTAAACAAAAGCAACAG